GACGACTTCGAGCCCGAATCAGAGGAAGGGGATGCCGATGAGTATGATAACGAGCCCTTTGAGAGGGTTGCTTCCTCTGAGAAATCTGAGAAACCATCTGAAGAGCACAACTCCAGTGTTCCTTCCCTTCCAGGATCTGCACCATCCATGCACAATGAGGCACCAGCACCGAGTCATTTGACTCATGTTGCCAGTGATCCCGTGGATGAACAGCATGAGGATGTGAATGAACTGACCAACGAGGAGGATGTGAATGAGCTGCATGAGGATGTGAAGGAGGAAGAGGCCTTACATGAAGAAGAGATTCATGAGGACCCCACCGAGGAGGATGTTGAGGCGTCAAACGACTACGAGGCAGGGGGCAATCCGTTGTGCTTCAAAGACGACCTGAACATTGAGCTTTTGGATACTTTTGGTAGAAACGAGGTCCCCCTCTACAAAGCTACTTCTGCTTCCAGCATCACATGAAGCCCATGTCGAACTTCAGAACTGAAGATGTCGAACTTGCCCTTCCTGAAGAAGTCTGTGCATTGACCCCTGCAACTTGCCCCTGTGAGGAGGACTTCGAGGATCTGCACTCCTTTGCATCCAACGCGCCCAACGCATCCAACGTGCCCACCCACACAGCGGCGGATTCGCCGCCCAGCACGGCGAGTGCGGCCAGTGGGGGTGCAGCGGGTGGCGTTGCTCAGCCCAAAAGGTGGACTCAAGACTTTGAAGATGATGAGGAGGAGCACGGTTCCTAGCGGGTTTCACGGAAAGGCAGCAGAACTGCAAGGCAAGTAGAACTGCAAGCAAATATGAGCTGTTGTGATTTGTTGTGTTGTATTTGCGTTGTGTTGACAGCTGCGGCAAGTTGAGGTCTAAGCAACTCTCAAAAGGCTGCTCTTTGAATGGACACATAGACTGGACTTGACTAAAAGCTCCAGACTCTCAGTAGACTTCTTGTGTTGCAAAATCCGAAGCTCACACCAGTTCTTCCATGTCGATGGTCTTCCACCACAAGGCTTTCGAAAAGCACCGGAAACACCAGTGGTTCCAAGATCACCCTGGACGCGTCCGTCGCAGGACCTCGAGGATCCGCCCCTGGACGCGGACAAGGACCGCGTGGACGGCGAGGACCGCGCGGCCGCGGCGGCGCTGGCGGCCGCGGCGCGCGAGCCCGGCGGCGGTTTCGGGATCCGAGGCGGGGAAGGTGGGCGCGTGCGGGGTGCTGGGGAGAGTGAAGTGGTGCACAGGTGATGAAGAAGGAACACCATGTATGGACAATCCATGACAATCCCCATTTTTTTGCAGGATCTTTCATTAAAAAAGTAGATGTTTGAGGGACCACATTTGGTTAAAGAGGTGTGAGTGGGTCGACATATAGTAATGAAAGATCCTCATGCGGACATTCATGCCTAAGTGCGTTCAGATTGGAGAGGGGGTTGGCTGAATTTGATAGGCCATCTTGAACCATTGAACACATTCTGGTGTCGGAAAAAGACCAAGAGGTTCTTGGAGTAAAGCCCTGTTTAACCAGCCTCCGATCCAAACACACCCTGCCGTTCTCCCTCCTGCCCGGTGACCACCATGAAAACCCCAAAACCAAGCCGTTGTGCAGCCGATCCTTTTGCTGCGCCCGTTCCGGCCGGGCGCACCACTAGAAGGCGTTGGGCCAACGTCGTTGCTGCCAGATGGGACCACTCCCTTGAGCCCGGGATGCCTGGTGGTGGTTCACCGGGCAGAGCATGGCAGAGCCGGTTGTTTCGAAAGCAGGCATAAGAAACGCCCAGCCTTGCAGCAATGCCATAGCAATGCAGAAAGCAATGCAGAAATCCAAGAACAACACAGAGGCTAACGTCGAAGAGTTTGAAGATGTGGCAGATGAGAGTTCTGTTCAAGACATGCTCATCAACATATTCAATTCGATTTCATCCAGTAGCACCAATTCCGCTTTGGTCAGCCTAGCCAGACCCTGGCTCGCGGCTTATGCTGACAGATTCGGAGATTGATCGGCTGTCGGAAAACAGAACCACAAAACAGTCACCACCATGCAAGGTTGCCGCTTGCGTGGTGTGCCCTCCCGAAAAACCTCGGCCACTTCTAGCCAGCCCGTCATCACTGTTCGGTTGTTTTTGCCTCACGGCCGATATGCCGCCCTTGCGCTTGTTGTCGTTGCGCCGTTTTTTCACGTTTTTCGGTGGTCGGGGGGTAGAGCCGTGAGACGAGCCATGCGAGCCTGTCCTTTTTAAGAACGGCTGGCCATTCTGGTAGAAAGGAATATTCCCACCTCAAACAGAGGGCTTCAACTCAACATTTTCGCCGAGAAGCGCCGTAAATTTGCAGATCTTCCCCGTCCCTCTGTGCCGCCCCTTTTGTGCCGTCCCAACGCACCACTGCCTGGGGCGATGCACTGGGCCTGGTCGATAAGGTCCGATTTCTGCCAGCTACGACGACGATGACAACATCTTCGAGGATTCGGGCGAGTGCGGCGGCTCAGACCCACGGCACCGCACGGTGATGTGGGCTCCAACGCAGTCGCATCCACTCCAGCCGCTGATCAGAACGATCAGAACGAAGCATCTGAGGTCTCACTGGGGGCGGTGGTGGAAGATGGTGGAAGTCGAAAAAAACACGTCCCAGGCGGCCGGGAGCTTCGGTGTTTTCTTTTCAGGTTTATATGGTGTTTTTTCGGAGTGGCCCAAGTGGGTGCGGATCACCATGCAGCAGGACTACCAAGATGAAAACAAGGAATCCTTGACAAGCCATGGAGGTGGTATTTGCAGCAGAGCAGACCAGGATCTGATTCCATTTAACCTGGACAAGTAGCCTTTGAAGTGTGGTGCAAAAACGTGCAAAATCACTTCCTGTTGGTGAACAAACACCACCTCCTAGTGAGTTCATGACACAAACAACATCAACCAACCACTTTCAGGTCACGTGGTCTTTCACAGTCACCACAGTCACCATCAGTCACCCTCAAACAGATTCTAGCAAATCCATGTCTTGCCATGGAACCCTTCCGGTCGATTTCGTTCGCCGAGGTCGCTGAACTTCAATGGATGACGGCAGGCGTGGACGTCGGCGGCCGGGAAAGACCATGCAAAGACAGAGTGGACAGAACGACACAGAGGATCGGGATATACCCTCCATACCCAGATGTTGACCAAGAATCCTCATAAGAGGAGACCCTCACGGGTGGTAAAATGGAATCCCTTGGCAGCAACGGTGTTTTTAACCCAAGGAGGTCCTAGAAACATACCAAACTCCTCAAGCAGTTCTTCTCGTTCTTACCAAGGGTCCAGGAAGGACTTGTCACCAGTTCAATTGTCATTGTCATGTAAATTATGACAATTTCATCATATATCCGTCACCTCCCACGGCCAGCTGATCCTTTTTTCGGGGCAAGACCAGAGGATGACACATCGACTTCGGCATCAAACAGACTTCCGAATGGTGTCCTCCATGGTGTCCGTGAGGTGATCCAGCACCGGTGCTTGAAACAAGCGCATCGCTTCCTTCCGCGGAGGATTCCCGATGCGCCCGGACATCCTTCCGCCTGATGCGGCCTGTGAATCTGCGGCGCTCCGTCGTGTTCAGCGAAGCTTTTTCGTGCGGGTCAACAGGGAACGGAAACGTGGCCAGGCGGCTGCACAGCACACGGGAAGAAAGGCTTTGGGTTCATTGGAACGGTTTGACCCACAGCCCAAAAGCAATTAGTCGATGAAACCACGAAGTGCTGGACCAAGTTTAAAGCAGTTTCACCCCCAGACCATTCTCCCTGCTGCGTGCGGGGTTAGAATGGTAACCTTGAGGCACCGCATAAATCGTGTGAGAGCCTCAGCGAACCCAGCAAACATCCGTTTTTAGCTTTTTCGCAGACTGAAGACAGTCCAGCACAAACGACCAAAGAGCTTAAAGAGCCCCCAACATCTTATGAAGTGGCTGGGGTGCCTCGAACATTGAGAAGACCCCGATCCAGTATATATGGTAGATGCTGAGAGCGGAGGGATGTGCTTCAGGGCGTCTTCAGTGTGTGACTTTAGAGCAGAGCGAACTCAGAATGACCTCTGGTGGCTCGGTTTCATGGAGAAAAAGGATGCGCCGCCCGCGGGTAGCGACGGTAGCGGCGGTGGTTCGACGTGTAGCGATCAGGATCAGGCCCTTAGCAGACTTTAAACGATTCTCTTCAGTGGGGGTTCTGATGAAGTATAGAATTGTGTCATGGAGTGTCTAGTGGCAAGCCTTCAAATCAACATGAATGAAAGCAGGACATAGAAGAGCACTGACACAGGACAACAGCAACAGCGCGAAGTTGGCGTTTTATGATGGTTATGGTTCTTTCTTGCTTGGTGTGATGCTGGATAGAGCCTCCACGAAAAATGGCTGCGACATCCACAAACTCCAATTCTTCCAGAGTCCGTGCCCTGCAGTCCCCAGTTTTGGTGGTTCCTCCCGCCAGGGAACATGCCGAATTCTGCCCAATGAATGCTGGTCCCAAAACCATGTTGGCTCGTCAGAACACAAAGGCCATGGACAGCATGGACAGCATTTTCCAGCGACATCCGACAGTCCTTCACCACTGATTTCGTGGCCTCCCTCGACGCTGCATTGTGGGGTGCACGAACCCAACAAACACCCACAAAAGCTTGATTAGCTGACTCGCTCCACAACACAGGATGCTGAAATCACATGAGATCATGGGGGGATTTAGGTCCCTATCAAACCTGTAAAGGTAGATGATCGAGGTTAGGCATTTGTGTCTCGCTTTTTGATCCATAGCCAGGTCGAGTGCATTCAGTCGCTTGAACGGAAAACGAAACGTCTAAATTTGGTTCCTGGTTGCAGGTCGGCGCCACATTTCCAGGTCGACCCTGTAGAAAATCTTCTCAAGACTCGACCTCACAAGTCTGGAACCTCTCGTGGAGTGCCAGTGCCGCCTGGCAGTTTCTGCCAGTGCCTCTCAACCCGGCCCAGGCGCCCAGCTTGGCGGCTCCATTTCCTTATGCCACCCAAACCACTTCCAGCCTGGAACCACCAAACCACCAAGCTCCGACTTCCGTGCCACGCGGCGAACTCGTCGTGCTCGTTGGTTGGTGCCTTCGGCGGATGGGTGGGCCATGGTGCCATGGCGCTGGCTGGGCGTGGGCGTGCTGTGGAGATGTGGCTCTTCGGAAGACCCTGACCTGCTCGCTGAGGCGAGGGACGGAGAAGTGCAGAAAAGGTTCAGGTCCTGAGACCCTGAACAGTTTCAGGGAGAGGGGGAGGGAAGGGGTTTCGACACCTTCGTGAACCGGCGACAACGAAGGAAGGCGAGGTGACGGCGACACGGCGACACGGCCAGTGAGTGGGGAGTGGCGTGGGGGCTGCGAGACCGGCTTTGAGCTGAGTCGACCATCTCAAAGCATCTCAAAGCTGTTTTTGGATTCTAAGGCAAAGGCTGAAACCATGCAAAACAATATGAACACATATAGGAAAACACATGAACACCATGGAAGGACTTGGGGTGTTTGTCCCATTTGTCCCATCCTGCAAGTAGTAGCTTTAATCGCATCAGCAGCTGTCATTGTTGGGAGTGCTTTCAGCACAGGAGTGCGATTTTTACCTCATAGCCATTGCTATGACGAGTTGTGACGAGTCTCTTGCTGGAATTGATGGACACTCCAATCGAACGTCGAACACCAATGGAAAGATGAGCCTCCTTTCTTTCGGAGCCGCCTCGGGTCTCGCTTCGGAGCGTCCCGAGATGTCCGGATGAAGCGGGTCGGGGTAGTGATGTGTATGGTTTGACTTATGAACCGTAGCCATTGTGAAGCTGAAGTCAGCTGAAGGTGAAGTTTGGATAGGACATTGTTTGACATATAGCCTCCCAGCTTAGATGGCCCCGTTGTAGAGGGCCTTGATCTGGCGAGGTGGCTCGACTGAAGGCGGAGGTGGAACGGCTGAAGGCCGGGTGGCCGAGCGCACGGTGCAATGTGCAATACATGACGGAGAGTCTGAACTGGATAAACCTGTGCAGTCCTAAAGTGCCCTAAGAGAAGTGAGGATCAAAATGAGCAGGAGCACTTTTTGGTGGAGACATGGTCTGAAACTGGCGCTTCTTGTATCATCAAACATGTTTGCTCCCTTTGCCAAGGAGTAGCTGAGATAACTTAGGGGCAAGATCCGGACCCGCAGAAACACTTGAGTTCTCTTCTTGCTTCAGCTCGCTTGGCTCAGTCCCCCTGCCACGCCGTCCCGCTTCCGCCGTGTCCGCGGTGTTTCGCCACCCGCGACCCGGTGCGATGAAGGGCGACACGGAGGGCCTGGGCTTCGGCGTGCCCGATACTGCACCCGTGAAGCCGCAAGACCTCTCGGCGCGGGAGATCGCACTGACCTTGTCCATGGTCTACGCGGTGAACTTCTTTGAAGGAGATGGATGAGATGGATGGGATGAGATGGGATGGGAAACAGGTGGTGGTGCACAGGTGAGCTGGGGAAGTAGGTGCAAAACTTGGATCCCAGACAAGCTAGTGGGAACCACTTGCTTTGGTTGAGTTGAGTTGGGATTTCTACTTGACTCTTGTCCATGTCATGGGTATTCTATCGTATTCGGGTCAAAACAAAACATGCTTCTCATGTACTCTGCATGTGCTTCTGACCGCAGGGTGAGGGTGATGTCTGGCCGCCAGGAGCTGACATGCAGCTCCTCCCTTCATCTTTCCGAGCGTTGGAGGCCAATCTGGGCCTCTCGCCCACGACCTTGGCCGCCTCTTCATTGATGCAAAGCCTCACATGTGCCGCTGCGAGAACGGGTGTGTTGGAACGGCGCGGGCTTGCCCAGGTTTTGTGTGGAACATGAAGGCAACATGTGAGAACGGCAAGAATTTGTGGATGATGTCAATGATGTGGTGACCTTTTTTCAGGCGAAAAAGACACCGGGGTTCCTGTGAGAAACCTGTGATGGTGCACTTCTTCCAGACGGTCTTTTTCTTTGGGCTCTGGCAGCGTTCCCTTTCGATCGAAAACCCCAGGCTTAGCTGTACACAACCCAAACAGCATGAAACACCTGTACTCGCCAGGGAAAGACCAAGGCATCGTGTGGTTCAAACCTGTATATATGTGTAATTTGCATGTACTGTAAAACCCATGATAGCCTCCATTGTTCGACATTAGACGAATCCATGATTGGGCGCTTGAAGTGAACAAGAATGCGCTGCTGCTGCTGGCGTGAAGGATGGAGTCCATGAGTCTTTGGTTTGAAAAAAACTGGTGATACTTGACCATCATATTTGGCTAAGGCATGTTAAGGCGGATGTTGTGCAAGGCAATAGACGCTGTGGGTGCATGATGTAGAATCTGGATTATATTTATTTCAACTTACCAAGCTTGAAGAGGCTTTACAATCCATGTCTCAGGCGGCTTTATGCGGCTTTCATTCATCCAGATTCTACCTTCAGATGAGTACATTGACTGCATCCGATTTTGACTCACTCACTCACCAAACACGAGCTGAGCTACCGTGCTGCCATGCTGCCAGCTGCCCAGGTGCCACGTTCTCGGTCTTTTGGGGCGTTTTGTTGGACAACGGCATCTTCACACCGCAGCAAGTGCTCTTCTCCGGGTGCACCGGATGGGGTGTGATCACGCTCTTCTTGGCCACGATCAATGACACCAGCTCCTAGACGGTGACCACCTAGACGGTCTGAGGTGGGAAGACGTGGGGTGTGACAGTCCTCGGTGGCGCAGTCCTCGGTTCGGCGCCTTTGGAGTGGGACCGGGTTTCGGAGTGGGACCTGGTCTGCCGGGCTTTTTTTCCTTCGATTTGGGGGTTTCCAGGGGGAGCCTGGATACTCCTTCACCACTTTAGACTTGAGGGGAGCCGAATGGGGGTATGGGGGTTGATTGTCACCTTGCTCCGCAGTAGACCCCCGGGAGAGCCAAGTTTCTATCGGTGTTTAACTGAAGAGGGAGAGAGATTTTGCAGGTATCAGATTGGTCGTGCCATGGGCTTTTCATTTGTCCTTTCAGCATCAACAGTTTTGGGGTACATTTTGAGATTGGGATGGCCAGTTTAGTGGGCTTCGGGCCACTTGTTTCATTGTTTTGGGAGGCTTTCCTCGTGCAGAGGGGAGTGCCTAGTCTTTCTATCCAGAGAAGAGAACTGAGGTTGGATCCTCGTCCTGCGACTCATCAATGGAGTCTGTTTAGCCACGCTGGCTCCAACGACACAAACCCTCATCGCTGACCTCACACAACCGCAGGCGGTCTGATGTGTTGCCACGCCGTCCATGATTTTAGGCCGAAACTTAATATTTGTGGAAGCTTTTGATCAGAAAATCACAATCCCAAAGAAGGGAGGTGATAGAGTTCAACTCATTGCGAAGCCTCCAAGAAGGTGATCTTTGTATATCTTTGTGGGAGAAACTATCAAATGCCTTGTCATTGGCAGCATTGGCAGTGGTTCTCTTCCTGAAGCCCTACAGGTCTCGCAGAGCATTGTCAGGCTGGTCTTAGAGTCTTAGAGTAGATGGCACAGACCTCAAAATGCCCTATAGATTAAACTTTAGATGGGGGTCCATACAAACCACCAAATTTGGGGATTGTGCCATCTACTCTGAATATCTGTAGATGTTTCATGTACTGCGCTCCTTATGTTGCATGGTTTCTCGCGAGTCATTCCCAAAAGTCCGACCGTCCTGGACATGGGCGCTCCATTTGGGCGCCCCATGTGCGCTGCATTCTGTTCTTTTTCGGCACCTCTTTCAACCGCCCTCAACACCCTCCAACTCCAAATGGAGCGTCAGTTCCAGACTGGAGCCACGTGAACTCACCAGCACGCCTTCTTCCTCTTTCGCCCCCCCCCCCCGGGCAGGAGCGTGGGAAGGCCTTTGCCTGGTCGGGCTTCTCCATGGCAGTGGGGTGCATGACCACTGCCGTGATCACCACCAGCATCTCCCAAGTGAGGACCACGAGGGAGCTTATGGGGTGCGTGGGGCAGGTGAGTCGGTGCGTGGATCCACAAGGCGATCCGGTGCGGGTCTTCAGGTGAGTTGAAAGGGTGGAAGGTCAAAGGTAGCTCCAAGTGGTGGTCAGCCATGATCGTGGATTCTGTATGTCAGCCATTGTCAGCTAGTTGTTACCATCCATAGCATCCATGCAGCTATACTACATTTTGTTGATGAAATTGGGAATGTTTTGAGATGATCCCCCGTAACATCAATACACCGTTGTTGTATTTGGTATATCCCGACTTCTCCAGGGCAGCTGCTTCTCTGCCGGTGGCAGTTTTCCTGTGGTGCAGTTTTCTGCAGATGAAAAACCGGGCCATGAAAGGCAGACCTTAGAAGTCCAAACACTAATACTGTCCATGACCTTTTAATACTTTTCAGGACTTCACTGATACTTTTCCTGAGTGAAGTAAAGGACAGTCCCTTTCAGGTCCCCTTCCTTGGACTCCCAGGGCGGGCTTGGACTCCGCTGGCCACAGGGACTGGATGGTCAGCCGGGTGCGTCTCGTCCCACCCAACGGCCATACGGCACTGCCTACCCTTGGAAAGCTACTGACAAAACAATGGACACTGAATACATGTGGTTGTAGGAGGGAGTGTGCCCGGTCATTTTTGTTGTCACAGCACAGTCCGAGTGACATGCTACGCTGCGCAGTGATCGTCAGGATTTTTGGTATTCAGGGCTGGCGAGTGGCTTTCGCTGTGGTGGCTCGGGCCGGGGAAGCATTGTGGATGGAGAGAATGATGTGTGGTGCCCTTGGGGGGTGGGTTTGGGGAAGGTGAAGAGAAGCTGATTTGGGCAGTTCTTAGTGTGTTCGGAGTCTTCCTGGCAACATATATTGCAACTGACAGCGGTAGAGGAAGATTGTCCAATTTGCCCAAGCACCAGGAACCTGTGAATACTTGTTCTGGGAAATACGATGTACCTTCAAACGCCTCTGAACTATCCTCTCCTCGTTCTGAAACAGTACCCCGGCATTCGAGCATTTAGCATCGGCAGACTCCACAAACGCCCGTCTTCGTCGAACACCAGTCAAAAACAAACCGAACAAAACCAACACCAACAAAAGCAGAAACAAACACCAAAAAACACAACCGCCCCCACACACACACCCGACACAGTCCTCCTAGGTGGGCCTCCTCTCCATCGTCTTGGGCCACTTTGTGACCAAGTGGGTGAGGCTTCCCACGGACTCGCCCAGCCAAGTGGAACGGATGCCGGGAAGCTGAGTCGAAGACGAGTCGAGTGGAACGGACGCGTGCCGGGAGCGGGGGGGTCACCGGGCTCGGTGTTTTCATGGTGACGACGGAGGGTGGAACCGATTTATCGCAGGGTGGAAGCACGTATGCTGTTTGGTAACAAGGAAATGTCGACACTACAAGGTATTGGATGTATTGGACTTCTTTTTGGAAGGACATGGGGTTTCACTCGCATTCAAAGGGGAATACTCCATCAAGTGCTTATGCCTCTTGGTGATTTTTGCCCGTCGACAAAGGGTCCTGAAGTTTGGTTTAGTCTTTGCTGGACATGTCTTCAAGCCTGCGAAAAGCATGGAACAAGAACATGTCTGCATCGAACAGTTGCTAACCGAACTGCACACATCGAAGGGGGATTGGATTTTCCGGGTGGAGAACATCCCGAGGTATGATACTGGGATCAGCTTCGCGAAGGAGTTGAAGACGGTGCTGTCGTTCTTTGAGGCGCCCAAGAAACCGGTGGTGCGTGCATGACTTGGAAGGTCCAAGAGAGGTTGAACAGCCTTATAGCCCATCCCATATGTACCACTTCTCTTGGGTTACTTTCCTTTTTTCACCTGGTTCTTTTGTTTCAGCGAAACACCTCCACTTCAGCTGCTCAGCACTCACCCACTGAAGGCACTGTTCTCTGTTTCGAAACTCTAATGGCTGGACCCTTGGTCCTTGGTCTTTGAGCGTCACAGGCTCCTCCCACCTGGACC